TAATAATGTTATTATTACTGTTAGTATAACACTGTCGTCATTATGAATGTCGTTGATTACGTCGTTATCATTATCGATTACATTTTCCTATGAATGCTATGGCTATGGTTTAATTACCCAAGTTTGAGATTAAAAGATTAACGACAAGTGCGTATAGTCGTTACAAACCCATTGAAACGAGTACAGCCCAGCTACTCGAAATACGTCTCAAAAATCATCTATAACTCCTCACAAAAGCAAAATTTTTCGACGGTGCTTAAACTTTTTAGCATCCAGATATATGTGACGTGTGATGTTCCAGTTTGATTTCTTCTGTACTATATCGGTCGTAAGGTTGAAAGCATATGATTATGATCTCGTTGCACGGGGTCACCTATGTGCAGTTCAGCCCTTAAACACCAACGTGACAGCGTAGGCCTGATTACGAGCTGGAGCCCAATTCGGGCAAAATTCGGGTACTCATTGCTCAACACGAGCTGCCGCTAGGTTGAGAACATATGTGGCAAACAAACAGCTTCATACCGAAGTTCACGTTTGCTTGGATTATCCATTGATTTGATTTTATAACACCGCAAGAAAGGCGGCAACAATGAGAGAGCAAAATCTGTTTGATAAACAAGGGATTTTCATCACCAATAACGAGAAGTACGGATACTTGCATTTTTGCGTTTAAATTAGTGTTTGCAGTGGATCCGGCGATTCTGGCCTTTAAATCCTAATTTTGATCCGGGATTATGTTAAAACATGGCATTTCATACAGTTTCGGTAATGTACTCATCTTGAATTATACATTATCACAATAATCATTCCCAGTTCATTCAATATTTGTAGTTTATCATCCAAGCGGCAATAAAAGAACAGCGATGCAATCAGAATAGGAATAATGACAATAACAATGATAATAAAAGCAATAATAAATATGATACCTTGATGACCAAATAATGCGTAAAGATGGTGAAATTTGCAAAACGTTTCGACGTGATACGTCAGCCTCAGTCGCAGATGTTGGTTGATATTTG